GTCTTTAAACTGTATCATGATTGCATTTGACCTTTATCATTTACTCTCTCTGCAGATGTTCTTATCAATTGCATTTGCTGCAGTGGGTGTTGCTGGAGGCCTGTACAGTTTAATTGTTGCAGCACTTGGTTTGCAGAATGGGCCTCTCTGCAAAACCGGACTGGTCTGGACAACGCCTTTTAAAGAACTCACAGGGTAAAGCACAGGAGTGACTTCCTCGTGACACATTTCATACGTTTCTCAATTCTTAGTCATTTATAATTCTCCTCTCTTGCACAGTGACAGCCACTACCTGATGGACAAGACATTATGGAGCTTATGCACAGAGCCTAAGAACATTGTGGAGTTCAACCTTGGACTGTTCGGCACTCTGCTGGCCACAAGCTGCCTGCAGGTGATCCTCTGTGCCATACAGATGATCAACGGGCTCTTCGGCTGTCTGTGTGGAACCTGCAATAAGGAAGCTCAGATCGCCTAAAAAATTTATAAATTAAAAAAATAAAAAAAAAGGTAAAAATGATTTACTTCTCAGATTTATGTAGAGACAATTCAGACTTCACCTCTCCTCTCTGGATTATTATGTGGTTATTTTTTTATGTATTCATTAATTCACATAATCTGAGAGTTTCTGACAGTTGATGGGCGCCCCCTGCTGGATGAATGACGATAAACTTCATGTCTGCATAAAACATTCTCTTTGAAGTTGCACCGTTTAATAAAATAACTTTTTAAGTATTTAATGCTTCATATATTAACAGAAAACTTAAATATTAAAATGCACAACAATAATTTTAACAGTAGAAATGATTTACACCAATTAGATGGCCAGTTTTAGATAATCTGGTTTAAAACGCTGCAGCTACAGTTATCATACTGCATTTTGTTGTGACGTTTGAATAATTGTGCTTTACAGTCAAAGTAATACAGTAATTACAGTCAAAGGAAAATAAAACAAATCTTACTTTTAATGTAAGCTGCATTAGTACAATAAATATCAGGTTTGATGTACAAACAGTTCTCCATCTTTCGTTAGCATTTCCAGGATAAAATATCTACACTTCTGAATAAAACTGAAGAGAACAGGATTGAGAATTCTGAACTGCAAACTCAGCATTGAAAGGGGAAAAAACATGGGAAATGGCACATAAGCAGGCAAAGGTTACACAAGGAAAAAAAAAGATTAATGCTGGGTCTCAACATACTGAAGAATCACAGCACGGAGTGGAGTACAGTATGGCAACCATGACAAAGAAAAATCAGCCTATGATTTAAAACATATCGATGTTCCTTTTGAAAGTAGCAGAATTTATGAGCAGAACTACCCATACAGACAAACCCAGGTGAGATCCCAAATTAAGGTGTCCACATAGCTGCCGATGATTCTATAATGAGTTAATAAAATTTAAAAATAGTTAATAAAATTTAATGAAATGGCATATGCCACTTTACTATCTTTAACATAGTCATAGTAAGTTTTGCCCTAAATATAAACTCAAAACCTAAAGGAGCTGTTTATTCATGTCTCTGCACAACTTGAAGAGACAGGAATGTATTTGTGCCTTCAAGTAGTGCAGGTGGAGTGGATAAGAGCCCCGAGCGTTGCTTGTATGACCACAGGGGGCTTTCACAACAACTCTCCTCTTTAGCTGGGTAACCGATCCCATGTGAAAGAATCGTTACATGTGACGATGCCCTTGTTGAGGTAGAGGTAAAATAATAAACGGAAGAGAAAACTGGCAGTTCCTTGTAAAGAGGTTGTTTGCTCAATACTGTGCTATACTTAGACATTTTATTAGGTACACCTTGCTAGTTCCTGCTAGTAAAATCCCAGCAGACCAGCAGTTTCTGAAATACTCCAACAACCCCGCCGTGTTCACACTTACCAAAATCATGAGTCTTCTGATGCGCAGTTTGAACAATGAATGTGATTCGCTGGGCACGATCTGATATCGTCGTGTTTGTGTTGTTCCCAGATCATCATACTAAATGTTGTTCCAGGATCAACATTGCAAGTGACCAATCAGAATGTTGTGACAGCTGTGACTTTTGCGACTTCGGGAAAAAAAACGCCGTAAAACAAAAAACTACTTAAACTGCGAGAAACCGCCTCTGTCCTCCGATCAACGGACCCTGACCCTGACCCTTTAATAAACGGTAAGCAGAACTGATAGTCCTTGCAACATTGGAATTTCATAAATGCACGAATGGCTTGGCGCGCAAAACAATAGCGTCACAACAATGTGATTGGTCACTTGCAATGTTGAACCTGGAACAACATTTTCATGATGATCTGGGAAGAACACCAACACGACGGCATCAGATCATCCGATTGGCTGGTTAATGAGCAGCAGAACAGGTGTACCTAACAAAGTGGCCGAAGTATTAAAAAACTAAAACTAAAAATTCTTCTATGTAAGAACCAGAGTAATACTGTGATGCAAACGCTGCGTCAAAAGCGAGTTGCTTCAGTCTCACAGGAGATGGAGTGTGGCAGTTTTCAGAGCCCACGTATAAGGTCATATGGCTATAATATTTCGCCGTTTCTTCATTTGTGTTAAGGATGTGGACCGTTTTAGCTGTCAAACTGCCTCATCATGAGCTTCCGGCTGGCCTCGTAACCCAGAAACAGAGCTCCATTAGCAGGGAAGGTGCGGATCATGGTGGGGGTAAGACCAGAGTAGAGCGCCCTCACACCTAAACACAAGAAACAGCTGAGCTTACAGTGAGAAAACTGAAACTGCTGAAAGCTTTAGTCTTTTACACCAAGACTGCTTTTGGAAAATACTATAAAACCCTTCATGTGCTTACCTTCAGTGCGAGTGATGGTCATGAAGGTCTTGAAAAAGCCCGCCTGTTTTCCCGTCATAGACATGACTTGAATACGAGATTTGACGCAATCCATAGGGTAGACCACCAACCACAGACACGCCCCTCCAAAACCGCCGCTGAACACAATGGGAGCCACACCTCCAAAATACACAGCATGTTAAATATTAAAGTTCCTGACAGTACAATAAAAAAAAACAGAATGCTTGCTTTGAAGGGCTGCCAGGAGAAACGTGCTCAATCTAAAAAGATCATAGGTTATCAAAAATGCATCTGAATGAACTACGTCTGGACCAATAGGAGGAGACCAAAGTCGACCAACGTCATAACAACTGTCAAGCACGGTGGAGGAGGGGTGATGATTTGGGCTTAATATGCCACATGACCTAGGTAGGTTGCAGTCATTAAGTCAACCATTAACTCCTCTGTATATGAAAATATTACAGATTCAAATGTGAAGCAATCGAAACCGAGTCATGTAACAGGACCGTTTTTCCAAGCATGCCAGCAAATGCCAGAAAGCTGAAGAAGAAAAGGTTATTCCAGCAGCCACAGTCAAATGCATGCAGCCTACTCTGTTTGACTTGCAACACCTTTAACATGCATGCACCAAGCAAGTATGCAGTTTACATGGTGTACTAATGGAAATGTACTGACAGAAATATCCTAACAGAGACATATTTGTAGTTTGATGACATTGAAAGTAGGGTAGTAGTTAGCTTCATCACTTCCGTCAATATATCGAAGGTGACATAGGCAGAAATCCCGTTCACAGATGTGGACTGTATTAAAATTTTCTTCACTTCACAAGTCAAATATAAGCACATTATATTATAAGAAGTAACATTTAATAACATATGTAAGTTAATAAAGTATATCATTTGTGTCTACTCTTTTTTCACTTTATTTAACATCCACATTTGACCAGAACACCTTTTAATAACATAGGGAAACATTTACAGCAGTACCTATGTCATCCTTGCCACATTTCATGTAGTCTGCAAAAGTTGTGCGGCAGAGTTCGTAGGCACCGAAGAAGCAGAAGTAACCGGGGACCTCTCTGGCTATAGTGGTGGTCAGACCCTGGAAGAAGCCCAGTGGTCCCTCATTCCTTATGATGAATCTCACCACCGACCACACAGTGCTTCAGACAGAGCAGAGGGAACGGTTGCTCAGCACACGAGACACTAAAATAGCGTTTTAGTAGATGAATATTTAAAAACAACTGCTCATTAACAAACTGCGCTTGAGAAACACCCGCCCTACTGTTAGGCTATTTACTTACTTCTGGCTACTGGCAATCTTGCCTGATGATGCCATTTCATGCATGGCTTGTAGTCGGCACTTGACAAGCTCAGTGGGGCAGAGCACTAGCGATGAGAAGATGGACGCTACTGAGCCAGCACAGGCTTTCTGCACGTCACTAACAAAGACAGAAAGACCAGCAGGCGGTTAGAGATCAGACACACACAAACCCAGGGCTGGCTTTGTGCTAACATAAAGAACAGCTACCTCAGCACAGCCTTGCTGTGCAGGCCGGCTGTGAAGCGGATGACCTGCTGACAGAAGCCGTAACTCATGAAGAGCACGGCGTTCTCAGCAATATTGGCCATCAGCGCCGGACTAGTGCCCTGGTAGAGCCCACGCAGGCCCACTTGTTTGTAGGTAGACATGAAGCAGTGGATGAAACCGCGGTACAGCTTAGGAAAGGTCTGCATTTTGACCTTTACTGTGTCTAGAGGCTGCCCGCTGAAGACGCACGCAGCTCCCCCTGGGGAGGACGAAAGTACAAAAACAGTAAATAACAGATGTGAACCGGCACATACAGAGAGTTGCTACAGGAAAGGCAAACTTTTCACAAAAGCCAGCCAATATGTGCCGTGAGAGATTAGTATTATAGCGGGCTCGGGCGAGAAACAGAAACACTGAAACAAATGAGCCAGAAAAACATAGGAGTCATCAAAACATCCTTCAGTCTGACATAGGTGGTGAGGTTTTGTCAGCACTAAAAAGCAACAGGATTACTTCATAGACATTAAAGAGTGCATGTGCACATGTTTATGTTGGCTACTGTAGAAAGAGTTTTAAGTGACAGGCTACTGCATTTACCTGTGGCTCCTGCAGAGAGATCAATGATGGCCTGGACTACTGGATGTGGAGCCATGGTAGTTCAGAAAAGGTCTCCCCTCCTCTCAGCTACCTGGGAAAAAATTGAAACCTATAAATGGTGTGTTTTAGTAAAAAATATAATTAGTTCATTGTTCCCCAGTTCCCCTCACACTGTAATTATGTGTGGATTAGATCCCCCCGGAGAGAAAGAGCAGCTGGGTTCATTACTACTACACTAAATTAGTTGCAATTTCAACCAGAACTGCTCAAAATGTGAAAATAAATAAAATGTGAAGACGCTGGTAGACCTTTCTATGAGCTTGCATGTTAAAAATAGGACACACATGATCCGATTTTGCACTTTGGGGTGTAAAATAAAACTCCCCCCCCCCCCAAAAAAAACTCCTATACAGCTATAAAGATGCATATCTGACGGTATGTTTAAAAGGTAAAATCCTTCTCAAAGTCCTTCTGTGGTGTGTGGTTATAAAGCACCTGTGATTTGAAAAACTCAATGCCAAAATAGTCAAACAGTACTCTCTT